TACTGCAGTATACCGTACCATTACCGTACATGTATGTACAGCTGTAGCACAACAGCACAACCGACCGTCGCTATCTCCGAATGCCGCAAACAAAATGGGAAGACAGAAATTTTAAAAGGCCCCTTCATGCGTGGTATTTTTAAAGTCGCGTCGGAACGCTGAAAGGTCGGAAACGTCAGTTTCTTGAGATGGGTTAAAGGACATTTCCGTGCATTCAATTATTTAGATACAACTACATGTAGTAGACGGTTTGGGCAACACGGGCCAGCCTTCTTTTTTTCTTTTTTACAATAGTCTAGTACGAGTGCTGATGAGTATTGAATTATGTTCCAATTGTTCACTGCCACTGTCAGTTTCCAGGAAACTTTCCCAATTTTGTTTTTCCAGAGGCCAATTCCTTCAATCCCGTTTCGTGACCTTTTGTGGAACTGAGTGGAGTCAGGGACTCGCTGAGGCGAGTCACTCGACTTCACTCGACTGAGTGACGTGACAGTCCTCAGTCGAGCACTCGAGTCTCGAGTTGTCACTACTTTTCGTCGACGTCGCGACTAAATGGAGTAAACAGCTTAAACGGCTTATTTACAGTCCCACAACCGCCGATCAATCCCAGAACAGTGGATCCGCACAAAGATCTAACATCGCATTGGATGCCTTCTCCATGATAACGGCATATCCAACACCAAGATGATCACCTTGAAAGGTGAAGGCGGAGCAAGCTTCCTTCTTGCAAAGGAGAAAAACTAGTTGACAGCAGATCTCGCTAGCTAGTATATCATAGCGGTATTGTAGTAAGATGTTGGCTCTACTTCGTGTTACATTCTTTGCTTCCGTCCTCTTGACATCATCTGCAGCCGCCGTGGTGGTCTATGACAGCGACAAACGCGGAGTGGTAGCCAGCGAACAATTTGCCAGAGCGATCGAAATTGTAGATCTACGAGACTTGACAACCGGAGTCCAATACAACGATGTCCTCGTAGGAGGTTCCAGTGGGCACATTGTCCTGTCGGAGCGAGATTCCATTGGTCAGAACATTTTGTTCCAGCCCAAGAGAATTCCTTTGTACCACCCTCGATCCGAAGCGGCTAGTTTGGCCGTCATGCAGGATACTAGTAGTAGCAATGACAAGGTGGATGTGGTGGCATCGCTCGATCGAAACGAGGATGATGTGGCAGCACTCGTCATGATTCGAGACATTAAAGGCAGCAACGCGACCAGCCCTGTACTAGAAACACTCATTGCCCGAGACGAATTCCGGGACAGCAATATCAACAACACCGATGCTCGCTTGATGTCTGTGACCAGCTCGGATGTCAAGGCGGTGGATCTGGATGACGACGGTGAAGTGGATCTGGTAGCTTGTATTGCGGGAAACCATACGTCTGGTTCGGAGGAAGGATTTCTTGTTGTGGGTAGACTAGACTTGGAATCATCCAAGTTTGTCTTTGAGACGATTTACGAGGGTCTTGGCGGGACAGCCTTTGTCGAGGTGGCCGATTTGGATGGCGACGGAGACTTGGATTTGGTCGTCTCGGCGCCGGAGAGAAACCTGATCCTTCTCTTTTGGAACGACGGATCGGGAAGTTTCACGTCGACGGTTTTGGACGCTACCGCAAAAGCTGCCGGGAAGATGGCAGTAGGGGATGTGGATAACGATGGGAGGCTGGATATCGTGGTGGGAGGTGAGACCTTTCTAGTGGCATACTTCCAGGAGGTGGAACCCACTGCCGACAAGGTTTCAAAGCAGGCAGCATCCTTTGCAGAAGGAGTCACAATTTGGGACATCAAAGACGAATCTAGACGTTGCACATCTGGATGCGAGGTTAACAAGATTCTGATTGAGGATATTGATGGAGACGGCAGCCCTGATGTAGCCTTCACCATTGAGGGCGTATATGAACTCAACGTTTTGTTTCAAGGGAAAACTCCGAGGGAGAGTCTAGTGAATCTCGATAGCCCCTACGGATTCAGCCTGGGCGATCTGAATCTGGATGGTTTGGTGGACATTGTGGGGTCTGCGGGAAACGATTACAAGGTTTTCTATTTCCTAGGTGAAGAAGTGGAAGCAACTGAACAGCCAACCTTCATGCCATCTTCTCCTCCGGCTCCACAGCAAGAAACAGCAGCGCCCGAGAAAACGGATTTGGAATCGAATGAACCATCAGGACAGCCAATTCAGCAGGATTCAACCTCCTTTGCTACTGCGACCCTCCATTCAGCGCTCGTCGTTTGGTGCATTGCTGCTTCGACAATGTTTGCGCTCAAGTAGAAACTGCATCGAGATCGAATCGAATCTGAATCTTCGTTCCTACTTGCACATGTACGGTATCATACATGCTGAAGCCACCTTTTTAAAAAGCCTGCCCCTTTATCTAGCTACCGTAGCTACCGGTACCGTACTCGAGTAGCTACTACCGGCGGAAAGAACCCGTCAAGCATCAGGCTAAACACTCATGGGACCACAGCTCTATCATACTCTGACAGCATTGGAGCAGTCCACTCTGGCCCTGATCTGCTGGGCTATTCGAAGTCACGAAAGGGAATGAAAGATCTTCCCGCAGTTTCATCCGTGGATCCATTTCGAATTGATTTGTGGCTGTCAGCGACGTCTTCTAATGCCGCAAGATGGCTTGTTCCATCCAAGCACCCCTGCCGCCAATGAAGTAAAAGTAAGTGATGGCACTACTACAACATTGGAACAGGAAAAAGTGCAAACGTAGTATCATAGATAATTTGGAAACCTGATCAGAAGACTGCTAGTAGTATGACGGTCAATAATGGAGAAACCCAGCCCCTCAGAGGGGTAGCATCTGATGGAGCAATCGAATCCACCCCATGGTATAAGAAGATTTCCAAATCCAATTTGGTCATGGGTGCTGTGGTGGTTGCCGTTTTGCTGTTCTACTTTTTGAGTGGTTCTCCCTCTCCTTCTGCTGCTAACCATGGCGGCAAGATACCCATTGAAGAACCTCCCTTACCACCTGTCCCCCCCGAAGCCTACGATGGCATCATGTACCGTCCCTTTTGCATCCATCATGCCGATGACTCGGGTAGGACTGTCCGACTCGTCCAGACCAGCATGCAAAATCCCAGTCAACAGTGGTCCTCTCTACCCTGCTACCATGAATCCCAACGATCGAAAATTTGGAATTCCCAACCACAAGACGAAACGGATACCTTTGGAGCTCCCGATGCCAAGTTGGATGTAAAGTTAGACACACATGCCTTTCCCCAACGCGAAACACCCATTTTGGGATTTGGAGGAGCCTTTACCGAAGCGGCGGCACTCAATTTTCATTCCTTGGACAAGACAGGACAAGAGGCCGTCTTGGAATTGCTCTTTGGCGAATCGGGGTTGGGATATGCCCAAGGTCGCGTTCACATGAATTCTTGCGATTTCTCCATTAAGTCCTACAGTTTTGATGATGTCGAAGACGACTTTACTCTCAAACATTTTGATACCGCTGTCGAACATGACGTCGAAAGTGGCATGATCGATTTGGCGCTGCGGGCCACTTCCAAACTCAAGGCGTGGTCATCCGACGATGGAATGGATGGAGTATTGCGCTTGTATGCGTCGCCGTGGTCCCCTCCGGCTTGGATGAAACAACCCACCTGGCAGGATCATCCCGGTGCCACCCATGCGGATGATATGCTGGGGAGTGCTCAACCCACGTGTATTAAGGACGGCACCGGACCGGATTCTCCTTATGCCAAGGCATGGGCTCTCTACTTTTCCAAATTCTTGACAGCTTGTAAGTTGTTTTTAGTGTTGAAGTGCCTTGCTTGATTTTTCTTTGCACTTTGGAGATTCCTTACTTTGTTGCTTGTTCATTGATTTATCTTGTTGACATTCCCGATTTCGTGAAAGACGAAAATTTGGGCCTTCCCTTCTTTGGAGTAACTCCCCAAAATGAACCTGAGTTCCCAGCACCCTGGGAAGCGTGCTCTCATACACCACTCACAGAATCGGAATTCATTGGCTATCATCTCGGTCCACAATTGAAAAAGGATCATCCCGACGTGAAAATTCTAGGATTCGATCACAACAAGGATCACATTGTCGCCTGGGTCGATGAATTGCTCGGTGACACTAGTGGCGATTACGTCTCGGGAACGGCCTATCACTGGTACGCCGGTGGAAACAACCGAATTCTCGATGGTGCCCTCGGAGCGCCCAACATGCATCGCCTCCAGGAACATATCAACGGTGATCCCAAACACTTTCTCATCAATATCGAATCCTGTCATTGTCCGTACACGGGCTATGGTGGTGGAGACATTGACGTGTACTGGGCACGAGCCGAACGGTATGCGCATACCATCTTGTCCGATTTGGCAGCGGGAAGTAATGGGTGGATGGAATGGAACTTTATGTGAGTGCAACTCAAAAAGAAAAAGTTTCAGTTTTTGCATGGATGCTCGCTCACTGTTTTTCTTGTTCTGATGTAACTGACTTGCAAACAGCCTCGACTCGCAAGGTGGTCCCAATCATCTGGGCAATCTTTGTGATACGTCCTTGCTGGCAGTGCCACATCGTGCCAAGAATGCACCGGAAGACTTTCCTCCTCTCATGGAATGGGAACATACCAATGCTTCTGCCAGATTTGGTGCGAACGTTGGCGATGGTCGCACTCTTCCAGAGCTCAATGCTCTGGGCTTTCCTGCCAAATATCTGGAGTTGGGTGTGGTGGTCCAGGTAGGTTTCCCAGGATTGTTTTGTGTTTGAATCTCTCTGGTGGCCAGTTTGCGTTTTTTGTTTGGTTTGGTATTAACCCCACTGTTCCTTGATGCTTTAATTATTTAAGCCAATTTACTTCTATATGGGCCACATCTCTCGGTACATTCGACCGGGTTCTCGTGCCGTGATGGGGTTGGTCGATCAAGCCGACTCGGACGATGGTACTTTGACATTCCGACCCAAGGGACAAACCGTGGCTGGAGGTGGCATCAATGACCTTGCTCAGCCAGATGTCGAGATTACGGTTTGGCCTTGTGAAGGATCCACGCGACAATCCTTCCGTTGGGATGCTGTGTCCAAGCAGCTGCAGGTGTATGGGCATGATTGGTTGGGTGCACCCACAACCTCCTGTGTCAGTAATTATCCGCACGAGTCTCTGATGGGGCTTGTTTTGGTGCAGTGCGACAAAAAGCATGGAGCTGCTACGTTGGACGTGGTAAAATACGACAACTACACCAACTTTGTTGTCACCAACGGCAAAGAAAAGAATGACTGTTTCACGATTGCGGCGTTGGGGAACCAAGGAGGTGCCTATGGCCCCCGTGGTGGAGCCCAAATCTCACTTGGCAGTTGTACCAGTGATGCAGCCAAGTTTGACTATGACGAAGAAACAAGTGAAATTAGATCCTCGTTCTACGCGGATGAGACTGGTTCCAACGAGGTCTGCGTGACAACGGGCTGGCCCTTCTTGCAGATGGGGGCTTTTGATACTCCCAATGGTGAAGCCCAGAAGACTGTCGTGATCCTGAACGAGGCCAGGTCTGAGGCCAATTATGCCGTGAAGGACGACGGCAAACTCCTGGTGACTGGATCCATCGGTCCGCGTACCATTCAAACCCTACTGATAGACTGATAGACTATTCTAGTGATCTTATACTTTTGACATTCTGAGCTGCCAATAGAGCGCACTCTTTTCTGAGGAACCGAGCTTTGACAGTAGTGACTAGAAGATGGGGCAACCCTTGTAAGCTTCTTGACTCTTGACTTCTGTGCTTTTGCAATGTCTCTGAGAACGGTCACAATTGCTGTGCAAAGGAGATTCTGCGTAGAGAAAGCTTGCCGCTGTGGTTTTTGAAGCTTTCCTCCTTCGTTGTTCTTGCGTACCATATGCGTGTACGTTGGTGGTTCTCGGTGATTTCTATTTCTATTCTACCTGTGTGTATGGGCCTTATTCGTATGCAACCCTGCAGTTCATTGAATAACCAACCAAGACAGATCATCAAACAGACCCGACCGCACCACGGATTCAGCGATCGTGCTTCCTGCAATCCTGATTTCATCAGCGTGGGAAGACATCAAAGCTTCAGCGACTGCGCTTCCTGCTGCGCTGCAGATTTCATCCGTGTAGGAACTCAATGTAAAGATCCCTCTAGCATTGAATCCAATTGCAATGGTGACCAACAAATGGAACCATTCATGGTATCCCCAGAAGGGATGGTGCCCCCCTGCTTGGCTTGCATAAAGCGAAAATCCCAATGCATAAAGAACAGCGCTTCCTGCCACCCAGTAGAAGACCTCAGAGTCTTCCACATGCACTCCATAGAACCATAGGTTGGAGGCAACAGGAAATATGAAACTGGCAAAGGTGATTGGACCAAGGCCACAAAGGATTCCAATGAATGCCAATGCCCCAGGGATTGCCACTGTTACCAACGAGTACTGGAAGTCAGGCTTGCAAGCCTCACTCTCCAGTAGCTGGGGTGTCATGAAGGAAGTAACACAGAGAGCCAGTATACAAGACTTGTCCATTCGAGTCATGGCTTCTTCCAAGGTCTTGGATTGATAAGGGACCAAATGTATCAAGCTCGAGAACACAAACAAGCAGCAGATGGCAATGATGACAGGTATAGCAGTTGTGGGGATGTCATCCCAGTATCTGTAGACAGCTGGGAGAGTTGTCAGAGCCCCCATTCCATGCAGCCACCCTCGACAGAGAGGTCTTGGAGATCCATCAGCATACTCCTTGTGGAATGGCATGGTTGTTGTGGTTGTTGCTTGCTTGAAATACCGGTAGCGCCTCGTTTTGTGACAGAATCGGAACTCGTTTTCAACTTACTTTTTCTCGTTGGCCTTTTTGTTGGCGTTGCATGGTTGCATGATTCTTACTGGTTCCGGGTGTTGTAAACGGCTTGGGGTATGGGGCAAACTCCCGAGTCTATGATGTGTCCCCTTGTACGGTATTAATGTACTGAGTTTGTGCTTTATCCGACGTTTCTCCATACCCCTGATGAGAAGTCATGCAGGATTGTCAGTTTCGGCCGTCGTGTTTCAGGTCGCTGGGCCACTTCGATAATTACTGCACACATCGCAGCCACTGGTAAGAATTCCAATACAAAATGACATGCAGTCGAGTCAAGGGACGGGACGACGGGATGGGTAACTCCTGGTCAACTCCTAGCCAAATGAGAGAGGCATTGCGGCTGCCCAGTCCGCTAGCTAGCTACAAGCTCTGTGGCTACTCTAGGGACTCTACTCTAGTATAGTAGTAGAAGCTACTCAGTACTAGAGTAGGCACCAGCGCTGGCTGCTGTGCTTGAGGAGTGAGAGATCAGCTTCATCCCTACTAGGTGCAAGCTATGCACTCTGAAGTAGCTTTCCGTGAATGCAACAACATGTCGATACTTGAATGGTTCAATCTGACGCACTCCTCCAAACCTCTATCTCGTCAATCATTGAGCAGAGCAGCTTCACTAAGGAGCTTTTGTTGCGGTCCCGCGATCCGCGTTCAAGCAGCCAGTTGAACAGAGACAGGTCTGCTCGAGACCTGACTGACAGCGCCACAGACCGGGCTATGTTTCCTGAAATCCAAAACTAACCGGTACAGGAACACCCAAAGATGCGGCTTCACCACTTCCTCCAACACAAGTACAGGAGTGGAATTCTTTAGTGGTGCAGGTATCGCTCGGTACCAGTAGAATCCGATGCAAGTGACTCTCTCGTGCTGAATAGTAGAAGCTGGCTGGGGGGCTAGGTGATTGATAAATACAACCAAAACGATCTCCTATATGTGGCATCTGGGTGCACTAGACTGACGTGCAACTGGACGGCAGTATGCCCCGATTGATTAGTAGAACCCACCACAAACTCTCTGGCTAACTAGTTCTCAGCCAGGCTGTCTTGGTGTCCTACTGGCGGCGAGCAACAGAAGCCGCCCGATCCATCGTACAGGGCCATTTCAGGAGCTGCTTTGCTTGTGAAGCAAACTATTTTAATTAAGCCAAGACCACCCCTTGCCGGTTCTTCCGTTTCACTTCTACTCTATTTGGGTAGTACGTGGAATGAGGTAATGCCATTTTCTAACATCACCTCCAAACAGATCAAAGTGGCGCATCTAGGCGGTCTAGCTATGCGGGTTTCTGTTGCACCACCATCTCGCTGTATGCGAAAAACTGATGTGGTAGTTTTAAACTCAGCCTTTCTATTACAAGCAAACGTTCATGCTGGGATGACGACGGGTGATTTTAGAGTCATAACTTTCTCAAATTCCAGAAAAGCAGCTCAAACAAAGAGGGTTGTCACCAACTGCCCGTTCGGGGGGCCGCCCAACAGGCGGATGCCTACAGTCCATTATAATTATCCGTCAACGGCATATACCATTTCATCAGAACCACCTCTCAGTTGGACCGTGCTTCCTATGCGGAAAAGATCATCTTGGTCCACTCGGCATAATCCACATAACCCTTAGAATCCACTGGCAAGGCCTTCATCAGCTTTTCTGCTTCTTCTTCATTGAATTTTTCGCCCATATTGCAGTAGACTGCCTTCATTTCGGTGGCCAGGATCTTTCCTTCGCCTTGATTGTCAAAGATCTTGAAGGACTCGAGCACTTGTTCAGCGGTTCCATTGACAATTCCATGTCCATCCATGACGGTAAGAATGGCATCGACACCCACAGGGCCTCCTTTGGGGGACACCTTCTTGACCATTTCCTCGACTTGGGGTTCCGAAGGATTCAGTCCAAGTGCTCGCACAACATCTGCAATCTCCCTGGCTTCGATCTTTCCATCTTCATCCTTATCAAAGAGCTTGAAGCACTCTTCGTATTCTTCCTTTTGCTCGTCTGAAAGGCCCATGTTGATTGTTGTACTGTATTGACTGGTGGTAGCGTTCTTGTTGTTGGGATGTTGTTAGCTACGTTGAGATGTTTCTTTCGAGGCTCGATTGCGATCTTTCGAGGCTGAGAATGAAGGCGGTCATCTCAAGAAGGGCTTGGGTCATCTTTGAGTATCTTCGCGCCGGGCCGACCATTGCCGGAGAGTTAAGGATTTGTCAAATTACTCCCGCAGTAGTAAGCCAGCATTGGGTTGTCCAATATTTGCTCTAGTCCCACAAACTCAACAAGATACAGTTGCTCCAAACCAAAAAGGATTAGGGGGAGCGTGTACCGGTATGACACGAGTGTAATGATAGAGTTTGTCAAAGGATCATCATACCAAATGCCTGACTTTTGTCTTTCAGATTCGCTATCACCCCCTGAAATGAAGGAGGTTGTAGTTTGCCAGATTGCAAGGACAGTGTTAAGTGCAGTGAAAGCCACAAAGGCAGTGCTGTCCATTGAAAGCAATGCATCATGACCTTGTGCAAACTCTGTAAGGGATGCCATAAGCAACCAGAGATTTTGGACTGGTACAGGCCAGATCATTGCATTTCGAGATGCTTCTCGTTTGTTCTTCCAGTCAAGCCGTGGGAGGCCCATGAAGGCAACAAGTACATGTAGAGTACCAACACCTAGAATTTCTTCTTGTGAGGTGGGAACTGCAAATCCATGGGTGATGACATTGAAATAGTGCTGTGCTCCAAAGAAAATGGAGCGGAGCCCAAACCAAAAGCACTGTGCAGGCGTTGTTGCAGGCTTGCAGTTCCTGCTCTACTAAGCTGCTTAACTCGCTTGTGTGGGATGGTTTGCATTGGTTGCATTGGCAGGGATTGCTGCGGTTCAAGATCATTGATGCTCTCTCCATGTTCCATGAGATCTGATAATGCTGCACTGGAGTGTGGCATTGTTGGAGCAGCATTGTCGAAATCGAAATCTTGATTGATTCTGTCACTGTCTGATTTTGTTGAGGCGATGATATGATCACCATCATGGATCCATGATGCAAAGAGCGAAGGATTGTGCCGGGAATGGTACAACTGGTGCTTGGTACTTTGCAAAGTCCTGTGATTAGCCAACCCACTGACCAAAGTGCACAAATGAATTGAAAGAATCAGTTTCATCCTATTCTATTGAGTTGTATTGATGGTGTAGCGATGAGTATTGCAGATCCAGGGCTTTTGGTTTATGGAGACAGGTGGCTGGATGCTGATTTTTCCTCCTCGCCTCCTATCCTTCGTATTCGGGTGGGTACGGTATGCATGCTCATGTGAACGAGTTGCGCTAAACCCCCGTTGCAAAGTTGCCCTGCGCCAATTTCGTACCGTTTCGGGCACAGCTCCTGGCTCGGCGGCCAAAACCATGCATGCGGCTTTCGATGGACCGCTAATTATTTATGTGGGGCAAATGCCTTGATATTTTGTCCTCTATCCACGAAAAAAGACAATACAGAGGGTTTCCAAAGAGTATGTTGCCAGTTTAGCTGGGTTCCTGATAAGTCCGGTATGGTGCATAGTACGCACCGGTACATGTACCGGTATCTACGGAGCCACAACAAACCAACAAACGGAGCATAGCAACTGGACCCAACCAAGACCATTTAGTAACCCAACTACTACATGCAATCAACATCAGCGCCGGCTCCAATTCCAACCATTCAACGGGACGTGCGCCTGCTCCATACTCAAATTTTCAACCTGTCTTTGTTCGGTACTTGTACGTATAATAGTACAATTCATGAGTGACATGCAGCTGATTGGGCGATGGGACGTTCACATCAACTACAACAGGCTGAAGCTGACAAGAGGAAGTCTTCTAGGACTATATCGCTTTGGGTGGGACATCAGAAGCAGGTCACGTCTTGCAAAGGTTTCGAGGCGAGATTATGCCAGGAGTCAGGGCAACAAGAGTAGGATCTGTCACAGATTGCAAGGAGACCCTCCAGCATGAGAAGATTTTTGATTGGGGGCATCGGCAACACACCGAGACAAAGAATGCAAGGAGACTTCTAAACGGAGTCATGAACAGCATGTTACTTTTGAGATTAGTGTTTTTTTTCTTCTCACACTCATATGACTTTTGAGATATTCTGTCAAGTTCATTTTGCTTTGAAAGTTTCGCTCTGGGCTAACAAACTTATTGAGCATCGGTACTCCCAATCGCATGGCCAAATAATGAACGTTCTGATGAGGGGAGTTTGACCCGGTTCATCTCTTTCATACGCTTGCTACACCGACATCAAGTTCTGTAGTGCCGGGATATTGGCTGTCAACTGTTTTACCGTATCGGGCCCAATCTGTTGTTTCAAAAACTCTAGTAAGTTGTCCATGAGTTCTCCCCCTTGTGCCGGGTTTACGCCTGCCTTTGTCATGATGTTTGTCACCTCGGCAGCATCTTTTGCCTCGTCACCCAAAAGTGGAGCCAACAGTTTCTTTAGTAAGTCCAAGATGGGCATGCAGGCCTTCAAGAGATCGTTGTTGCTACCGCCTTGTTGCTGTTCCTTGGAAACAGAATCGATGAGAGGTTGTGCCTCAGGAATGTTGGCGGATATCTCCTTCGTCACTCCATCAGGGGCCTTCTTTTGGATGAACTCCAACATCAACCCAATATACGTACGGACCACGGATTCGTCAATGCCAGTTTTGGTGGCTACTTGACTGATAAAGGCGTCCATCGTGGTGTCTGTTTGATTGTTTTGTGGGTGGGGTTTATTTGGCTGGCTGCTTGGCAAAATGAGGTTCACAGAATGGGTAACTCTTGCGGAGAGGAGCTCAGTCCCGCAAGAAGAAGAAAAGAGAGACGACCGGCTCGTAATGGGTACCAACCGACTTGTGCTCCAGACGATCATCAAAACAAAGGATCCTGGACTTGGCATTGGGTTCTTTACAATGGAATTGGCAAAGCCTGTGCTTTGAAAATGTACCGGTTACATGGTCGTTGATGCGTAATGTTACTTTGACAGGTGCTTGTTTGAGAAGTGGAATGCAATGCTAAAAACATGTAGTGCCGTCACGACACCCCACAGGGAAAGACAGAGCTACTAATATCGGATTTCTAGCTGCCCCCATTGGCTTCGGTACTCATACCGGCAGAGCAGCCTGCCAGTACCACAAGGTTTGGCAGAATCGAATCCCAATTGAGTTGTCCTGAACCAAAGAAATCTAGTTGTTCTATGCCTATCTACCCTACAGCAGTGCTGCTGGCCAGATTGCTCGCCTTAGCCTCAAGAAGTTACTGAAGCGTATCATACGAAGGCCGTACGCCATCGGCATCGGCGGCCTGCAATGGTAACTCTTCGATCGTCACACGTCTACCAGTGTTTCGTCGTCGATGCACCACAGTGGCCACAATAATGGCAAGCAACATTCCGGGGACTGCCGAAAAGGACATCCTACCAGGGGATTGTTGCTGGAAAAGGTTCCAGGGCGCCAGTTTGGCAACCACCACCGTCAGTGACAATGTCTCGTGTGCGCAGCCAAACTCGGTCAAGAGGGAGGGATCAGCATCGGAGAGCGCACAGACCGTCTCATCAATCCACTTCATGGCAAACGACACTCTGGCGTTGACAGCCGGAAAGAAGGGATCAGCGCATTCTTCGCCCCAGCTCACCAGTCCTACGACAAGATCCTCCGATTGGTTGGAATTGTCCGACGTGAGAAGCAAGGGACTGCCACTGTCAAAGGCACATGCATCCTTTTCATTGTGCGGGCCTCCCGATGTACAGATCATCCGGTCCTCAAAGATGCGGCCCTTGTAGGCTTGATCCGGTCGAGCAGGATCAAAGGCTTCTTCGCATTGGTCATGGGACAGGACGGTTAAATCCACCTCTTGCAATGTCGTGGCGGATGTTTCGACAAAGGTAGCCGGATCCGGTTTCATACTTCCCATGCCAATGACCGCGACGATTTGTCCGTCAAGCGCAAGGGTGGCATCACGGTTCAACTTGACGGGAGTTTCTTTGGAAAATCCACTAATCTTGAAGATATTGTAGTCATTGACGGTTTCATCCCAAGAAATGGTGTAGAAGTCAGGATGTTGGACAATTTTGACAATGGAAAAGGTCTCCTCATCTTCAGGTTCCTTGGCAAAGTCGGTGCTTTGAAATTTGTCATGGTTGATGCGTACTTTGACTGGTTGGTCCAGAGGTGGATTGCAGTGTCCTGCCGTCAAAATGATATCAGGGGCAATGAGGATTCCTCCTCCAAAATGGTCAAAGGTGGCAAAGTAGGGGTAGCGGCCGGGTTGGGCATTATGACCTCCAATGATCAAGGATCGATGGCTCTATGATACAGGTACCGTACAGGTAGAAAAAGGAATGGCAAAGATTCCAATGAGCGACAAGAAACAAAGATAAATGATGGATCACCAAATCAAGCAAGAAAGTTGGCTTACCGCATCCACGTGCGAAGAAGATTCGGCACTTGTCACAGCACTAAAGGACCAGAGGCAAAGGAGAAAAATACAAATCAACTTCATAGTTCCAATAGAATAGAATAATGAATCCATGGAAAAGCATCATTGTGACCTTGCTTCAGGAAGCTTTGTTGTGAAAATGCAACCTCCTGATGATGGCAACTCCGTGCGATGATGCGATGCATGTGGTTTGCAAAAGATCCCTTTGCTCACCTCTTGAGAGGTGCGTGAAAGACACGTCATTCTTTTGATGCACTCTTGCCCTGTTAAATTAAAAGCAGACGACAGGAAGCGACGATACAGCACTACTGAGCCTCACACTGGTACGAGCGAGCTTCGAGAACAGAGAACCCGTTCGCACCATTCCTCTCCCTTGTCACAGCTGCTACGCTGCTACCTACATCTCAGAGTTTCACATGAATTGTACTTTAGAATATATTTAATGGTTGTCGCTCTCATACAATAAGAAGACCAGCCAGGGGCCAGCCGATTGTAGGTGTTGCACAGCAATCATCATGTATGGTATGGAAGGCCGAAACGGAAAGAAACACAGAATAGATCGAACTGATCGAACATAAAGAAGCATGAAGCAAATAAATATGCAAGAAGATCATTGGAATGAATTTCATCGAAAGCATCGAATCTTTTGGGAGCAGCCTGTGGAAACAAGGAAGCAATCTCGTAGGAAAACATGCAGTCTTGGAAACGTCCATCCGCGTCGTTAACATGCACCGTACAGCCATCAATCATCAATCTGGATTTCAAACTTGTTCTGGATTCATCAATCTGGATTTCAAACTTGTTCTGGATGTCTTGTCTTCATTGATGCTGGCCCTTACTTACTTCCAATCCTAGGCTTCAAAAGGCCTGACATATTGGTACCAAGGACCACAACATACAACACAAAAGGTACCATCAACATCCGTTCAATGATCCAGGCCAAAGCTGCAATCATGAAAACCCCAGACAAACAGATCATTTGGATCACCAAACTGGGCTGATTAACAGCATTGTCAAACAAGTCTTTCCAGAAATGCAGGCCAAGGGGAATTCCTTCTTCAGAATGAGTCAGACAGAATTTACTGTTCGGTGCAATGTGATTGCAGTAGAGTCGAAAGGGAGCAACACCAGCATGCTGTGCAGCATTGTTGTAGGGACCAAACAGTACCTTGGAATCCTCATAATCTGCATAAATGGATGCCAAGAACTTCCCATTCACAACAACTTTTCCACTTGGAGTCCAAGGAGACATAAATCCATCACGTGTGGTTGTGTCAATAGCAGTGATGGTGCACCCTGCCATGACATTGCCCACCTTGAGTTCATCTGCTCGGACGGGATGAGCTTTGCCTTTCAAATACACAAAATGGCTTGGAGTAATCTCGAGTGGAGGAGAACCAAGAGATTCGTCTTCAGCACAAGAAACTTGCAAGTATTCAGTTGGTGACGTTGCGTTGTAATGGCCAATGGCATAGACTCTCTCATAAGTACCAGACACAGCATTGGTTAGGACTTCACTGCCCACATCCAAGTCTCTCAAAGCAACAGGTCCCACATCTTTCACATCAACAGTGGTGGCAAGTGAAAAGCAGACATCCGGTGGAGGGTCAGGTGAGTCCGGTGGATCGGTTGGGGGGAGAGTTTCTGGACAGGGGGCATCCATCTGGGTGCAAGGGCAATAATTGGCAGCACATGTCACTGAGCAGTCTACCGTCAGCCAGGAGACACAAATGTCATAAGGGACTGTTCCACGCAGCTGGTTGTCATCAAGATACAGCCCATAAAGGTTGCTCAATTGGCTGAGCTCTGTAGGAATGGTTCCTGTCAATCGGTTTTGAGACAACCACAAATTGTTAAGTGCTGTGAGATATCCAAATTGAGTTGGAATGGTTTCAGTCAAATCATTGTCCCAAAAACATAAATGAGTCAACTCTGTTAGAGATCCCAGCCCAGTTGGGAGAGGACCAGTCAGTTGGTTGAAGTCCAAGTCCAGGGTAATTAGCTCAGTAAGACGACTAAGCTCCGTGGGGATTGGGCCCGTCAAATCGTTGGAACTCAACCACAAGGTAGTAAGCTTGGTAAGTAGGGCAACCTCTGTTGGGATTGTACCAGTGAGACCCGCACCTGATCGCCACACAGATGTTGTGCTCTCAGGGTAGTAAACCAAGCCAAAGATTTCCACGCCTCCAGCCCTCTGAGAGCCGGAGGGAGCAATGCCATCATCATGGCTAGGGGGTTCATGGTCGTCCTTTGCGCGACGAAGGTGCCCTTTTGCAGTCGATGCAAGGAGCAAGATTGAAGCGAGGGGAGCCTGAAGAAGTTTCATTGAGATCGTTTGTTTTTGGAAGGAAGGTTGTTGTTTTCGGATGATCGATTTCAATTTTTATGAGCAACACAAGCTTGCTTTCCGTCTCTCGCTTGATTTGCTTCGCTAATGTACCGGAGCGACGAAGGAGTCTGGGGCATCGCATCGAAACTTGCTTTTGCTGGCTAGCTAGCTGGTTTGCGAACTGAACTCGGAAAAATCTTTGGACGTTTTCGGTTAGGCAAACATTGCTCTCTTCCGAGGCTACCGTATGTATAAGCACTGAAATGATTTGATTTTCGGCTTTCCTCCTCGGATGAAACGAAGCGAAACCGTAAAAGTGCAAGTCAGAAAAGCCCGACTGATAACCAGCGCTCGTGATGGGCGGGAAGCTTTTATCAAATGCAGCAAAAAGCGAGTTGTTCGCGGGCGGCCCGTGGCCGAGTGAAAGAACGAGTTAAAGAATGATCGCATTGGGTAAGGAATTGCTTCTTGGGTACGCAGTTACGGTATGGAGGTTGCATTCCAAGCGCTTATTTCTAGCTTCCTAGCCAAATCAAACCGAGAAAGCAAGGGAAAAGCCGAACTTGCTTTCGAACGAAGGGCTCTCGATCTGTCGGGGATGCTCGATGGCTCAAGCGGTGGTTATTTTTTCTGTCTCGTCTCTAGAACTACAGTATTGTGGCCCCACGGTGTGACGATTGTGGCTACTTGTGCTATCTAGAGCTTTTGTGTCGAAACTGGCTAGTGTGTGCTATGGCTTCTATGGTGCGGTGCCGTAGAGAACTGCTTGCAGTGTGGCCGTGAACCCTGGTTCGTCTCCCAGTCGAGTCGAGTCGAGTCCATGCTCGCCCCAGTCGTTGTTTGGAGACGAAGCTCCTTCTGTTCCTACCTATAGATAAATGAATGCGAGCGCTCGAGTTGACCATCCGCGGAGTTCTGGGTGAACCTGGTTCGTCCTCTCCCCGCACTTTCTCTCGCATTTCGCTTTCCCCAGTCGTTGTTTTGATACTTCTGTTTGTGGTCCCACGGTGTGACGAATGTGGTTCCTCGCACTGGAGGTTTTGTGCTGTAGAGGTTTAGCAGTGTGGTCAGGACCTTGGTTCGTCTTTATCCCCGACGGTACCAGAATGCCGGGTCGAGTCGAGTCGAGTCGTTGTTTTGGTTCGATGCCCTGTTCCTTTGAATGCGAGCTTTGCCGTCTTCATGAGACGTGGAGCGGAAAGAACAGGTACGTCACTCTGGACGCACTATTGCTCTTTCAAAAAATGCTGATTCGTGCGTGGAGCCAGCAAGATTCGATTGTGATTGAAGATTCACTCGAAAGCTTTCTTTGGAGTTCTTTCGATCCAACACGTCGACGAACATCCACACATGCATCATCCTTAAAAACAAGCAACATCCAAGTATTAGTACATACTTGCCGACTATGTTACCCTCTTTCTCAGCATAAAACCATCCATAACAACGACAAGAATCAGATAATCACTTTAGAAGTCAACTACAGTACAATGCTATCTTCACAGCAACGCTTGGCACTTCGAGTGGCGCGACGAAGGCTTCCCAGCGCAGAGGCCCTCCTGTACCGGCAGCAGCAACCAGGCAGCAATTCACTCGCGACGTTTGCATCGTCTCATTGGCTTCACACTAGTAGTAGCAGCTGGAATCGAGATGACGAGGAAAACAAGAAGAAGAGTTCAAGAGCCGCTCGTCAACTCCAAGGATTGCCATTGTACAACCGCCAGTGGTTTTCTACCACATCCTCTGAGGACGACAATAAGAAAACTGATACTGCTACAACATACGGCGAACGAGCCGCCGAATATCGAGAACGAGCATCCGAATACAGCGACAAGGCCAAAGATGGCGCCAAGTCATTTGGAGGCATGATGAAAGCGTACGGTCCGACCTTTTTGGGAACCTACTTGTCTGTTTACGCCGTCACATTGGGTGGATTGTACGTGGGAGTCGAATCGGGTGTCTTGGATCCCGTCACACTGTTGGGCTATATTACCGGCAATCACGACGATGCACGGAGTACCGCCGAAGTCGTGGCCGAGTTGTTGAAACACTATACATTGACGGAACGATGGGCCGATACGGTCCAACAAAAACCGCATTGGGCCAATTTTGCCGTCGCATGGGTGTCGACCAAGTTTACCGAACCCATCCGATTTGGTGCCACGGTTGCCATTGTGCCACGAGTGGCACGCTATTTTGGAGTGGTTGTGCCATCCAACAATGACAATAAGGAGCATGATGACACGGCCGCCAATGAGGAGGGAGAAATACTGAAGGAGTCCGTGGGAGATAATGCCGAGGGTGCCGTATCAGTGGAAGAAGGTCAGGAACAGAAACTGGACACAGCATCGCAAGAGAAGAAACAACCCTAGCTAGACAGCAACCAACCGGTATTGGATGAATATATGATTGGGGAATACCAATGGTAGCACCAACCAAAAGGGCATAGCTAGACAAAAACGATTGCTTTCAGGAATTGTTCTAGCAAAGTCGTCGCTTTTTGACCTAAACATTAAATCAACACATTTTGCTAGATCATTGCAAGTACCGTACCTCTTGACGTATAAAGTGGGCTTGTTGCCTGCAGAGCGAATGGAGAGCCTTTACTTGAACCAGAGGCAATGGGTTCTCGCGCGGCAACGGCCACCGTAGCAAGAGAATCGAATCCAGCCCAATATGGTATGATCATGGCGCCAGCCTCGAAATCAAAAGCTTCCGCGGGGACTGTACTGCTGCCGCCAAGGATCGGTCTGCTATCAAATACATCTACTGGTATCAAATTTCGAGAAAGTGAGAGCTAAAATACGTCCTGTGTTTGACAGATCCAATGCAATCGGGCTCCAAACTACTGAATACCGTAGTGGGAAGTTGCCAAGCGCGTTGGCAAACCTAATTTCAAAACCTCCCAAATGAGCCATCAAAGTTGACGCAATTCGGTGTACCGGTACAGGTACTAGTAGTATATCCGTACGGTACAGGTGGTACCGGTATTTGCTTTGTCCGTGGAGAATGCAAAATGCAAGAGGAGTTGAGGCGAAAACGGAACTTCTTCTGGACAACCTTCTGTTCTGCCCTCTCTGGAGCCGAGTACTGGCGGCTGGCGGCACACACAGCAGTAAGAATTCCAAATTGCTCCTGCGACACAACCCCCTATGGGGTCTGTATGGTTGCATCTCGGCGGTGACACCAGCCCTTCGCCCCTTCGCATCCAGATAGACGGCCATGGCTCTCCCGGTATGAGAAGGCTGAACAGAATGATTGGCACTCGGCACCAGCACTCTAGCATGGCGGCTTGTCTCTGTCAAATATTTTAGCACTCTCACTTTTTGCTGCATTTTGATAAGATCAAACAATCAAACTCACCAAGGCGAATTCTACAACTTGAGAATACCATTGCCGAGATCGTTTGGTTTCGGAAAACGGAAACACAGAATAGTGACACTGATGCGGGCACAGTCCCGCTGTAGTTCATTTGAGCGAATTGTATTTATTTGACCGAAAATGTCCGCAATGTTATTTTTCGGTTTCGGATTCGCTTTGCTTGATCTCCGTGCTCGGGACGATGCGTCGAAAGCAGGCCCAAAACTTCGTCAACAAGGAAAACACACCCAAGGAAACCTCAAAATGAGAGCATTGTCGGGCACCGTAGCTGCATTGCTCTTGCTCGTTATATCAACGGCAAACGGAAAACATCATGGCGACATGAACAGGAAGCTTCTCGATGCCTCAGGCCGTGCCACCGCTGCTCGTCGCGTTCGAACAGCTGCTGCTCGTCATGAAAACGAGATGGTTCTGCACAGCCTGGGCAACAGTGATGCAGATGGTCTTCGCCGCACCACGGTTGGGAGCTCTGGCAGAGCATTGGCCGAGGTGGAAATTTTTGGTGTTTCATATGACACTGAGAGCACAACACGTCTGGATCGGCATGAGGAGGGCCTCACTGGTTCGATCCCCACAGAAGTTGGTCTACTTACCAAGCTTACTAAATTGTGGTTGGGTGCCAATGATTTGACAGGCCCACTCCCCACGGAACTCGGTCTACTGACCGAGCTCACTACCTTGTATTTGAGTTACAATGAATTTCTGACAGGTCCAATCCCTGAAGAGCTTGGTCTGCTAACCAAGCTTACTTGGTTGAGCTTGTGGGGAAACCAGCTCACTGGCCAAATTCCTACAATCCTTGGTCTGCTCACTGACCTCAACTCGTTGGGGTTGAATTCCAATCAATTGACAGGGCCCATACCAGATGAAGTTGCAGCTTGGACAGAGCTAGAGTACCTTACCTTGTATTCAAATCTTCTGACTGGAAGCCTCCCAACACATCTTGGATCCCTTACAGCAATGACATCTTTGTGGATATATTCCAACCTATTTACAGGTCCAATCCCTACACAACTTGGGTCTTTGACTGCCTTAACTTACGTGGCCTTGAATTCAAACGATTTGACAGGTCCCATCCCCACTCAACTTGGATCTCTGACCAAACTGAAATATTGGACTATGGCTCATGGCTCTTTGACTGGCGCCATTCCTCCTCATCTTGGATCTCTCACAGCACTTGAAACCATGTGGTTTTTCGGTAACCAGCTCACTGGAACCATTCCTACAGAACTCAGCCAAATGAACAGCCTAGAAACAGTTTATCTTTATGATAACATGCTCAGTGGCACAGTTCCAGATGGCTTTTGTGTTTCTGAGACTCTGCGGATAGACTGCTCAGTCACATGTGCTGACAACAGTTGCCCATGCACCAATGTGGATGCCCCTTGTCCTGGCACACCAACACAGCCAACTGATCCACCAGCAGAATCACCTGACCCACCACCAGGTGTCTGCTTTTCACTTGCCACCACTGTTCAAGTGAAAGATGTGGGACCTGTTGCTTTGAGAGACTTGGATGTGGGTAGTGAAGTCCTAACCAATGCTGTGTCAGGTACTTATGAGAGAGTCTATGCCATTGGCCATTACAACACCTTGTCATCAACTGAATACTTGCAAGTTTCTTGTGCTGAAGATGTATCGCTTGGTTCTCCTCCACTCAAGATTACTCCGAGCCATTTTGTGTATTTGAAAGGCAAACCTCATCCAATCCGAGCAGATGAACTCAAGGTGGGCAATGTCTTGGCAGGGTGCACCATCACTGCTATTGGCACAACCACAAGCAATGGATTCATGTCTCCTTGGACACCAAGTGGAAAAGTTGTTGTCAATGGGAAGTTCTTGGCATCCATTTATGCAGATTATGAGGATTCCAAGGTACTGTTTGGTCCCTACAACAATGCTGCACAGCATGCTGGTGTTGCTCCCTTTCGACTCTACTGCAATCACATTGCACCAAAGAGTAAATTCTGTCTGACTCATTCTGAAGAAGGCATTCCCCTTGGTCTACATTTCTGGAAAGACTTGTTTGGCAGTGCTGTTAATCAGCCCAGTTTGTTGATGAGAGCAGTTTGCTTGTTTGGTTTCTTCATGATTGCAGGTTTGTCCTGGATCATTGAACGGATGCTGATGGTACCTTTTGTGTTGTATGTTGTGGTCCTTGGTACCAACATGTCAGGCCTTTTGAAGCCAAGGATTGGAAGTAAGTAAGGGCCAGCCTCAATGAAGACAGCACATTCAGATAACGTTTGAAACCCATATGGATGATTGATGGCAGTAGGATGCATGTACACGAGGTGGTTGGACTTTTCCAAGATGGCATCTCTTTCTAGGAGATTGCTTTCTTGTTTCCATTGGTTGCCCCCAAAGGACTTAATGTTTTCAATGAAATTCATGCCAATGACCTTGCATATTCATTTGTTGCTTCTGTTTATCTGGGTTATTTTCGATGGCAGCTTGGCCTGGATCATTGAACGCATGCTGATGGTACCTGTTGTGGTGTGCGTAGTGGCCATTGGTTTCAGTTTGAAGTGCAGTCCAAATGGGTTGTTGCAGGCAAGTAGTGGCAAGCAATGAACCATCGAACCGTGGATAGACAATGTGTTCAGAGAAGAAGAGTTTGACTATGACACCCAGCGAAACTCTGGCATCGTGGTCTTGTTATTGGCTGCATGTAATAACATCTATTTCATACATACCGACAATCATTTAGCATTGGATGGGCTTTCGTGTCGGATACTGCCGCTGCCAATCTTGCCGCTGGCGCTTCGAAAACGTTTGCAGCAGCGACGAGAGCCAAGAAGAACTGAATTGTTATACATTGTGCTATGATTGCTTAGAAGTGCAAGTCTTGCTGCGTCACGAGATAAATAGAGCGCGCCAGTTGCTCCTGCTGTTGCCTCCCGAAATCGGACCCATGAGGCTGGGTGAGTGGATGAACCATCATCGTCAATTTGTCTAGCGACGATGACGATGTCTCCTCCTGCTGCGTCTTCGCCTTTTCTTTTTGTCGTCAATATAGACTTCAACGTCATCGCCGATGGCAAAATACCCTGAGACGCATTTGAACAGTGAAGGGACCTCTTCCGTTTCTCGACCTCTTCGTGATCGATGCTTTCGTCGGCCTCTTCGATCGCGAACATCCTCTTCCTCCTCGTCCTCTTCCTCCTCCTCCTCTTTGTCAAAAGATCCGTTGGGTCTATGGCAGAAAGATGCGAAGAACAAGGAACCATCCTCGTCGTCATCGTCCGAGTCAGATTCCTCTTCTTCCTCCTCGTCATCGTCATCGTCTTCGCCAGTATCTGAGGCACCGGTGTCGTCTCCACCGTCAAACGTGGCGCCCTCTTCTTCTGCCGCATAAGTATCGTTGTCAGTCGTTACACCTTCTTCATCATCGTCATCATCGTCTTCATCGTCGTCCTCGTTTTCTTCTGATTGTGAGAACTCCACGGACGTGTTTGCACTGACTACTGAAGACTCGACCGTGGACATGGACAGCTTGGACTCTAACTCAAAAATGGTGTACTCAATCTTCGGCTCGTCCTCGCCCTCTGCCGTGTATTCGACTTTGACCATTTCTTCACCATTTTGCTCTTCGTCCTCATCAGAGTCCGACTCATCACTTGCCTCTTCGGCTTCTTCCTCCACCCCCCCTTCTTCGGTCGAGGTCGCGTTGCTCTTGCTGCCTACGGTTTCATGCTCCACGAACATTGCCTGATCGACATTCGTAATAATTGTGGATGGAGAGATGGAAGTAATTGTGGATGGAGCCACAGTCGTACCAACAAACGTGGATTCTTGGTCATCTCCGTAGCGACGAGAGGAACCTCTGCTGCTAAAGCGACGAGAACGATCGGGCTCTGTGCTAGCAATGTGCTTGTACTTGTTTCTGCGTTTGGTTGTGGGGGGTGTACCCGTTGTGGTGGCAGCGAGCTCTTGTTGGTCGCTGCCCTGCTGCGAAGGAGCTTCTTCTTCCTCGCGCTCGGTTCTGGACTGTTCTTGGTCGTCTCTGGTTTCCACCAGGTCAACCCCAGGTGAGCCAACCTCAATTCCCGCTTCTTCCTCCACATTCTTGTTTTCTTCCTGGGTAGTGGCGAATGGCCGGGTGGACATTAGAAAGACCGGCTCATCCGTGGGATGTTCAACATCCCCGGCTTCCGGCGCTTCTACTACGACAGGATTGTCATGACCATTGGATTCGCTACTCTTGCGCTTGGAGGATCTCTTGTTACCCTTGGACCTGGATTTACGAAAGGGGAGACGTCTTGGGGTACCATTCGACGACTGTGTGAAGCTCTTGTTGATGCGATTGAAAAAGCCATTGTGGTTCCCTTGTGATTGAGCTGCGGATCCGTTATCAGCATTGACAACAGCATCGACTTCTGCTGCAACAAAAGCAGCAGCGTCCCCGGCGAGGCCCGGGGCGACTTTTTTCAAGCTCTCGTGGAGGCGAGACTCGGCCATGACTGCCCGCTCCAGAGCTTCCTTGGCAGCCTTCTTTTCCATGATGGACTCGGCGACCAAGGCCAACGTCTCGCGCTGCTGAGTTGACTGGTTTCCAGACTCTCCCATCATCGCATGTATGGTTTCGATCAGAGCGGGGTCATCGGACGACTTGACAATAGATTCAATCAATGCCATGGTACTCGGACCGTTGATCTGACCATCGTCATCAACGGGAATGGGCATGGAACGGAGCGCCATTTGGGCAGCTCGTGTCAGTGCAAAATGATGAGGATTATCGAGGGAATTAGGAGACATTGGTTCCGCCTCTTCGCGCTCTTCGCGTTCGGCATCAGATATTGTTTGCTCGTGACGATGATGACCATGATGACCGGGAGCATGCGATTGCAATATCTTTAGCAAAGCTGGAGGAAGCGTTACTTCCTCTCTCGAATTTATAGTGGCATCACGGGCCGGTGGCTCTTGTGCTTCGCGATAGCTAGCTTTCGGTTCTTTGGGCTCCCGACTGTGTTTCTTTTTGCGACGACCGCGCTTGGACGCAACGTCATCGCGATATTCATTTTTCAGGATCCTAGTGAGCTTGACCATGGCTCTCCTGACGTTAGATACTGGCTCTTTCAGTTTGTTTTTCTTACTCGTCCTTGTGTGTCCCTTGAACCTCGATCGTTGTGGTTGCTTGTCTTTGATGCAGGAATTGGCTGATGGGCTTCGTTGTAGGCGACCTTTTTGCACTTGACGGAAATCAAGAACAAAACTATGAAAATCTCAAGGGGTTGCATGACCGTTTCAAGCCAGAGACAAGCCACATAAGGGCTACCCATACTAGCGATGAATGGCGCTAGGTAATTAGACTACGAAGCTAAGTTCCTTCTCCAGAACGCACCGCTCCTCGGTAACATAGAAGATCCTGATGGGATGAAGCAATTTGGTGAGGGTACCATCACCAAATGAGCGCTAAGTATATCATGAGGGAGCTTTAGTTACGTTGATTGGAGGTCATATGAAAACCTCATGATGAAGAATGTATTAATTTAAATTCTATGATACTTAGCATATTCGCCGGGGCAGATGTCATCCTCGAACCATCCTCACGTTTTGTTGCCGAGCTTGTGAAGACCAAGGCACCAAGGAGCTGCTTCCATGCTGCGCAAGAGACCACTGGTACATACATGTGTTCCCCAAGAGGTGCACTAGAGTAACTACTACAGTATGACATCCTGGGTTTCTTCTGTAGCTCAAGCCAGCTAGCTCTAGGTTCCAAGAAATGTCAGGAGTAAGGCTCTACATACCTGTAGCTAGCTAGTAAGAAAGTGAACCAGCCAGTCATCAGTGTAGCCTTGATGCTTGATGAAGTATTCTTGTTGTGGTGGGAATGGAAGAAGAATGCTCCTCTATAGGTGCCAATGCATGTACTAGTAGTACCCGGTAGTTTTCTCAGTTTCTTATCGAGCTCATCAGTTTCTGCCATATTGGATTGATAGAATGTGTCAAAGAAGACTAGACAGCCAAGCTACAGGTACCGGTAGCGAGGCGCAGGTTTTTGCCTGCAATGGTCTCTTTGGCCACCTTTATTAGTTGTACAAATTTTAAAATAGTAAAGAGCAATATGTACGAATAGCCGATGAAATATGACACCCCTCAAGCTAGTTTCTACACGTCCAATCGTCCTGAAATCCCCTAAATTCAACCACATTGAGAAGTCAGCCCAGCTAGCTAGCTAGATAGTACCGGCCTTAGACTTTGCTACACTTATCTATCCCTTGCTTTTTGGAGGTCCCTTTTGGAGGAATAAATCAATTACTATCTGTAGCTTCATTCGCAACTTCAGCAGCATTGTCCAGTATCCCTTTGGTATCCAATGTGAAGAAATTCCTTGGTCTTTTGGCGCGGGATTGTGGTTCTTCCCGCGAAGACGAATCTCGGGTCCGTCTTTTTTGGTTGGTATTGTGAATCTTATGCTGTTGTTCCATTTGGGTGATTTGCGTCTGCTCTTGCCATGTTGTCTCCAATCCGTCGCACGCTGGAACCGTGGCATCCCGCAGACGTTTTATTTTGGTGTTGAATTTCGTGGATTGCTGTTGGAGTTCCGCGAGAAGAGACGTGATTGCCAGGTAATCCTTTCCAAGTCGTTGTTGTTCCATCGTAAAGAAACTGTTCTGTTGTTGGCTCGTCTCTATGATATCCTACAGCTTCGAGCTACTAGCTCGCTCGCTTCGACCACCTCTTCCAGATAGACTAAACTAGACTAGCTAGACAGACTTTGCTTACTCCTTTGCTTTTACTCGTACTGAACTGTAAACTGCACCCAAGTCCAAATCCATCCGTTGTGTCCAAACCCCGCGGAACTTTCCGATCAACTGTGCGATCAAGTACGTTTTGGCGCCGTGGGGCGTGCGTGCGCGCGTTTTCGGTTGCCCAATGCCAACAATTCGCCAATGCGCTTGGACACATTTTTCGCATCCATCATCATTCAATAATAGTTGTGGTTTGTTTCCGTCGTCCATCGAACAAGATGATGAAGTTTCTGTTAGCCTGTCTCTTGGCGTCTGCCACCATGGCGATCGATATTAGCTCTGACTCTCGAGCTGGAAAGCGAATTCTTTCCAAGGCACGAAGTGTCCAGGATGGGCGTCATTTAGATGAAGGTATGTCACGTCCAAAACTACATCAACGTTTGTCCTTGTGTGTAGTGTTCTTTTCTGATGTGTGCTCTTTGTTTGCTACCATGTGATCCAACAGGCTACTATACTACCTGGATGACCAAGTACAGCATGAAGTTTGATGGCTGTCATTCCGTCCCTCAATTTGAGCGCGAAGAAGGCATGCGCTCTGTGTTGTTGGCCAAGTTCAAACTTTGTCCTGGCACCGACTGCAGCAAGTGTCGAAATGCGGGAGAGTACATTGTCGAAATGAGGTACGTGTCGTCGTTTGGATGGCTTGGAGGAGCTCTACATTGGTGGAGCGATGCTCACCTAACTAAACTGACATTCGTCGTCATGCTGTAGAGACTTTGTTGAAGCCTACCAAGAAGCCCAGCAAACGTTGAATGAGTACGCTTGCGAAACACAAATGGAATCTTGCCAGTACCAGTGCGAGAATGGCATGTACCAGTACCAAGACGATGCCAATGGGCAACAAAACAACTATAACAACAATAACAATAACAACAATAACAATGGAGACGACGGCGATTACTGCTACTACCAATGCATGTCCGACAATAACATGTCGTACTGCGACAATGACAACAACAATGGCGGTAATGGAGACATGAACATGGACGAAATGATGGAATGCCGTGCTTTGGGAGGAGACAACAACAACAACAACAACAACAACAACTACCAGTACAATGCCAACTCCAACTATCAGGTTTACTACGTGGGAGCCTACTGTACATCCGGAGGCGTCTACATTGACACATTTACCGACTCGAGCTGGTAAGTCTTTCTTGTCTACAGATCTTTTCTGTCTGTCTGTCTTTCTTGCTTGAGCCAGTCTCACTCAATCACTGCACCTTCTCTCTCGACGTTTAGTACCAACAAAGCACCCAAGGGAACCTACGAAAAGTACAGTGGAGGATACTCCTTGCCCACGGACAACATGGTGGGAACCGACTGCATCAGTTGCGAGGCCCCAGCAGAAAACGATGGCAACAATAATAACAACAACAATAACAACAACAACAACAACAATAACAACAACAACAATTACTACCAAGCCGAAGTCTTTGAGGTGTGCGAAAAGCTCTATGAAGATGCCGGCAAGTGCGAAAAGAACATGGACGTGACATACAAGAACAATGGGGCATGCGAGTTGATGCACGGAACTTTGGCGCGTCTAGATGCAGCATATCACGGACGAGGACGAGCGGCAGTGGGTTTGGCATGGTTCTTTGGAATCTCTGTGGCCGCTTTGGGAGGATACATCTTTTACCTGCACACCAAGGTTTTGACTCGGCAACAGATCAACTTGTTGCCACCGTTGGGTGGAAGTCATGCCTGATATGAGGTCACCATATGATACGCTGATGTTGATTGATGAAGAGTGGGGATGGATGGAAACCCAAAAAGAACGTTTGTTGAAGAAACACCATTCTATTCTATAGTATTCTAATGTTGCAGTCAGTGTACCATGGAGTTGATGTTCTTAGAGAGCCACAGTTGAGCTATAAATTAATTAATTGATACTTTAGTTTATTTTGTCGAAGGGACACTAGACTAGCTAGATAGGAGCAACTGCACTTGAATGTGGGTTCAGCTTGTCCTTGGCTTGAACGACGGCGTATCGATCGTACAGGTGCCATCGCCTCTATACGTATTTCTGAGTGTTGTTGGGCTTTTGTAGTGGAAGGCTTCCTCCTCGCTGATTGAAACGACCTAGCTACCAGGTACCTGGTACCGTACCTTGGCTAGCTTGCTAGCTAGCTAAAAGTACCACCGAGCCAAACCAAGGAGTGGAAAGAGCTGCTGAATCAAGAGATGCTTCCTGCTCTTCCAGGTTGACGCAGCATCCGAGGCGGGCGGATCCCCAGTGCTGGGTGGGTCCGTGCTGGTATCGGTACCGGAACTACCGCTGCCACTGGCATCACTAGTGTACTCGGGGATTGTTTGATTCATCACCAACGAATCACCAAAGCCAATGGCTTCAAAAATGGCGTTTTGATCAAATGACCCGTCATCGTTTCGCAGAACAATCACACCGTCATCCCCGGTGAAGCCATGGGAACTGATTTGACGTGCCGGTGAGACCACAGGATCAGGTACCGCCTGTCCGGATGTTTGAACCCATCCGCCACATTCCATGGTCGCGGCAACTTGAATGGAGGAACTCTGTCCTTCCGCTTGGATGATCAACCCGGTGGGTTCGAGAAAGCCATTTGGATCTGTGCACACTGGAATAGCCGTCGCTCGACGCGTTCGATCAACATCTGGAAGCTCTGGCTTGAATGAAAAGAACGGGTCTTTTGTCATGTAATCTGGACTCAGCCTGGCATACAAACGGGTCAAATAGGGGAATCCATCCACAAACGCTTGGGCTTCTCGGGCTGGTTTCAGCACTTTTGTTTCAATTTCCGCCGCCAATCCAGTGGCATTGAAAGGTTCTGATTCGAAAAAGTCTTGAACAATAGTGTCCACCAGTGGCAAGTCTGGAAGTCGGTTTCGATAGTTGTCCACAAAGTCCCCAATGGACGTTGCCTGCGCCAAGATATCTTCCGTAACATCCTGAATCTCAATCGTATCGGCCACGATTTGGCTGTCACCGGCAAACTCGGTCACAAACGAATGGTTGACCAACTGCGAGGCGGCAGCATCAAAGCGAGCTATGAAATCATCATAGTAACAGGCGGGGTTGAATCGACACGGGAGCCATTGTGCTTGATTCTCATCCAATTCAATCTCCACAAAATTGAGTGGCACGGCACGTCCTTCCCCTAATATGTAGACCTGAATCGGCATGGATTCCACAGCAGCAATGCGGGTCAATTGAATCGGCACACATGCCATGGCGCGACGTGATACTTGAGCTGCGGATTGTTCTACTCCAAGGTCGTCGCTGGGCATGGTGAAGGACATGATCAATGGCTGAATCTCACCAGTTTCGGCCTGCTTTTGCAATCTCAAAGCCACAAAGACATGATTGTTGACGGCGTAGTAGTTCAAGAGTGGTCCGGATCCTTCTGGTTGATCATATCCATTTTCATTCAGCCACTCCAATACTGAAGAAGGGTTGTTCTCGGCTGCCTGCAGGACGACAAAATCGAATGGTCCCACGGATCCTTGATCGAGAACTTGCGCTCCATCGTCAATGACATCCCTCGGAATCTGTTCAAAATCTGCTTCCGGGGATGCCTCAGGAAAAGCGCACTGTGTTGGTTCCAGGGCATCCACAGTACAAGTGTCGCTGGCTGTTTCGTCGATTTCCAACTGCCACTGGGGCAATGTTTCTTGAAAGAGTGATGTAAACATCAAATCGGAACCGACACTAATGTCGTCTGGTTCGACTGGCACCGGGAGGACCCAACTGAATGCCTCTGCTGGTCCTTCGTACAAGATTTGGACGTGCATTGTCACAAGATTCCCATCAACACCAAAGACAATGGCCTCGCCGCTCTGCAACAAGCAATCGACATGAGCATGCGAGCATCCAAGCAAACGAGAAGCCTGCTTCGACGAACGAGATTCCTACTGTACCTGGACAACTGGCCTTTGCGGCTCACAGAAAAAGCCCCCACATGCCAAAGTGGACGGGAGAAGCAGTGGCAATAGTAGCGACAAAAAGAGCACGGACGACTTCATCGTTGACGCTCCACGATGCAATATCATTGTTGCCTTTTGATGCAGCCCTTCCTCAATGAGGAAGGTCTCGAGGTTCCCTTTCAGCGAAACGAAAGCGAGGAGGCATCAATCGTGCTTTGAGCTAGAGATAGATTTAAGCCAGAAGAGCAGGAGAATGGGGTTGGAAGCCTTGGCTTCGATCTTCTTCTAGCCTAGTAGTTAGTTTTTCTCAAGGCGGCTCGAGAATGATTGAATGATGGTTCCTGTTGTGTTGGACCAGGCGCCCTGCTGGCTGCTCGTGGACGAAGCGGTGCATGAACGCTGTGCATCGCCACGAAACTTCGGAGGCAAGTACCAAACTACAGTGTGAATGCTACAAAACAGTAAGCATCAAGATGCCCCAGCCGTTCACCAACAATCGATTCCTCATTTTCAGCTCACAAATCTTTCCAATCTTCCAACCAACAATCTCTCCCAATACGCGACTCCCAACACACCAACTACTAGAATAGATCTTCGACCAGACAAGACAAAAAATGAAACTCTTCGTTTCAATCTATTTGTGCGCATTGGTCAGTGGCTTTGCTACTATCAGGCTGCAGAGCGGAAAGCACCAATTGTACAATTCCCAGCACAACTCTGTTCTTTTTGCATCATTGATCCATGTCAACGACCCTGAACTTGGTAGGTTTGAGCATGCCCCTGAAGGGCTTCTGGTGATGCAGGAAGCCCACAATGCTGAGCTCTTTGAACCGAAAATTGATACTACTGAGCCCGATGCTGGCACATCCCTTCAAGACTTTGATTTTGTAAATACCATTCCATTGACACCACATTACATTGGAGCATCATCATATGTCATGGAATATGGAGACACCATCAACATTCTTGAGCCGCAGCACTCCACCCCAGAAACAGCAGTGAAAAATATCGGACACAAGCGTGTGAAGCAGCTTTGCAGAGCTGGAACTGCAAGCCTGCAACAACGCCTGCACAGTGCTTTTGGTTTGGGCTCACTTCTATTTGGATCATTGCATTATCTCGATATCACAACCCATGGATATGCAGTTCCCGTCTCACAGACTGAAATTTTGGGTATTGGTGCTTTGCATGTAATGGTTGCCTTCATGGGCCTCCCACGGCTTGACTGGAAGAACGAGAAAGAAGCATCACGAAATGCATTGATCTGGCCTGTGCCGCTCCAAAACATCTGGTTGCTTGCTGCATCCCTTACAGAGCTTGCACAAGGTCGTGATGCTTTGATTTCAATGGAGAGCCCTGCCTTTGTGGCTTTCACTGCATTCAACCTCTACTAGTCCTTGCAGCCTGGCAAACTACAGCCTCCTTCATTTCAGGTGGTGCTAGTGAAGTGGAAAGGCAAAATTCAGGGATTTGGTATGATGATGCTTTAACAAACTCTGCCATTACATTCTTGTTGTACTCTCTGCCCCTAATCATTTATGGTTTGGATGAATTGTATCGTGCTGGGTTTGTGGGACAAGAGCAAGTTGTACAATTTGCATTGACTCACCCTGATCATAGCAATCTTGTGGCAAATGTGTTCATCAACACATGTTTCATCAACAATTTGGCTGTTTTGGGGGCTACATTGGTCAAGTACAAGGTGGTGTCCCCAGACAGAATGGCCATGGTATACCCTCCTGTTTCCTTTGCAGTAATTTTTGCTATCTTTGCAACGGTTCTTGTGAGCGATGGTGGGACATTGTTACCAGACTTGCTGAACCTCTTTGCCCTGAGATAACCAGAGTGGAAGATCTACAAGGTGGGAAGGACAGCCACATAAATGAAGCTTTGCACCAGTACGGAGCCAGAGAGCGCACACTGACTATTTGTGGCGGGGGTGCTAGCTGGATGGGCGGTTCCCTGCATATTTGAAGAAGAATGGGATCGCCAGCAGAAAGGCATCAAAACTTTTCAAACCCCAACTTTTCAAACCCCAAGGTTGCACCGTTTTGCTCAAAATTCCGCTTTTCTTTTCTGAGCTTAGCTAGGCCTGTCCCTCTCTCGGCTTCAGTAGATAACTACAATACTATCTAGCTGGCCAGTAGGCCCCCGTCTCCAAGCGGGTAACGGTGGGCTAGCTAGTTTTTGCTGGCTTCGTGCTATCTATCTTATCGTGCTGCACAGCTAGCTAGAAGCGCTAACCAGCCAGCGATGAAGATGAAATGGCTTTCTTTGACGTTGATGCTGTGCATTCGGTTGAGTTCGATGCCCTGATGGCTCTGCCGGGTAATACAAGCTCTGTAGTGTTAGGGTTTTCCCAACGTAACGTTATGGATCGTCAACAACATTTCAGAGGGCTGCCCAGCTTATAGCTGGATACTGCTGGAACAGAGAAAGACTGACTGCATGGTTGCTTCCGTTGCTTTCAGGCTTGGTGAACCCCCAAAGGAATCTCGGACCGACCATCAGCGAAGGAAGAGGGTTTGGGCCACGTTCTCGTGGTTTGGTTCCCTTGTGAAACCTTGGTGCTGGTCTTGGACATACCTTAGGGCAGCAGCTTTGGGCCATGAACGGTGACAATAGAATGAGTCGTGTGCATGCGTGCTACGAAGGAAGAGGATTTGGGCCATGAATACAGTACGGTTTGATTCCCTTGTGAAACCTTGCTGCCAGACTATGCGTGGCGCCGAGCGTGGAAGTGTCGAGTGTGGATGCCTGCAAGTTTGACTGGGTAGTGAGAATAAAAACGATTTTGCTTATCGTTTGCGAAGTCGTATCATATTTACCCCAACTTCCGATAAATCAGACTTGTATGCGCCGTTACTCACTTGTGGAGATGACTGGTCACGGAGACCAAGCGGGAAAAACACTGCGTACATTCTGCATGGCAAAATGGTATAGCATCAATTCCAAACAGATCAGCTCACCTCCTCGAAGATATCATAATCAAGAGCTCCAGTGTTACAAAAACACCTACCAAACCAACTACATTACCGGTATCCCTAATACAACCAAAAAAATGAAACTGGTTCTTTCAATTTGTTTGTGCACTTTAGTCAGTGGCCTTACAAACCACAGGCAGGCAAGCACCAATTTACCCCCCTGCAGGCAAAGTCCTGTGCTCTTTGCATCGCGGATCGATGTCACCAACCATGTTTTTGATACATTTGAGCATGACCCTGGACTCTTTGAGCCCATCATTGATGTTGCAAATCCAGGTGTTGACAAAGATTTGCATCGTGGCAGTAATACTCCATTGATGCCACACTCCAGCGCAGCATTATCAGATTTCACAGAACATGGAGATGGCATCAATGTTCTTGAGCCGCAGCATTCCACCCCAGAAAAAGCAGTGAAAAACATTCCACACAAGCGTGTGAAGCAGCTTGGCAGAGCTGGAACTGCTAGCATCCAACAAAGCCTACACAGCGCTTTTGGCTTAGGCTCCGTGCTATTTGGATCACAGCATTTCATTTATCTCCTGACCAATGGATTTGAAGCTCCTATCTCCCAGGAGAAAATTCTGGCCTTGGGTGCAATGCATGTACTGGTTGCCTTCGCGGGCCTGCCAAGGCTTGACTGGAAGAATGAGAAAGAAGCAGCACGAAATGCAATGATCTGGCCTGTACCAGTCCAAAATCTCTGGTTGGTCTTGGCATCATTGACAGAGTTTACACAAGGGCAGGATGCTTTGGTTTCAATTGGCAGCACTCCCTTCATGGCGTTCTCTGCACTGAACATTGTCATTGCGGCCTGGCAAAGTTCACAATCCTTCGTTTCAGGTGGTGCTAGTGAAGCTGAAAAGCAAAAGTCGGGCATTTGGTATGAGAATCCTCTGAAAAATGCTGCAGCTGCAGTCTTCTCCTACACTCTACCCATCATGGTTTTTGGTTTTGAGCTAATGCATCTGGGTGGGAATGTGGGACAAGAGCAAATTATTCAATTTGCGTCATCTCACCCAGACCACAGCAATCTTGCTGTGAATGTGTTCCTGAATACTTGTTTTGTCAACAGCATTGCAATTTTTGGGGCAACATTGGTGAAGTACAAGGTGGTGCCTGTTGGCCGGTCTAGATATTTAGCGGACCCGGATAAGAAAAAGACCGCACCACCGTAGGAATTTAAGGAAACTGGCATTCTCAGATCCAGACTTCAAAGCGACCAGCCAAAAAGATCACTTTTTCTTCTCAGCTCGCCCAAATCAACAAATTAACCTTGATATTACTAGTAGCTGCAGTGTTATTAGACCCAACACTGAGAAGAAAAAGGTTTTGTATTGAGTTTGTCCATGGAAACAGGTATTGTAATAGCGAGAGAGAACTGAGAGGAATTGGTCAGGTATTGACCAGAGGTGCGCTGCAGCCTCACTATAAAGGCAAAGCAACAGAGCTAACAGTCAAGCTTTTTCGCGCTCACATTTTCCCTCATTCCAAGCTCTCGGAGCATCGGCCGATCGACTTGTCGACCGATTCAGAGCAAACCAAGCACATCAGCGTCGAGAGCACAGCTAGCCGGTTCAGATTGATGCTTGAAGCAAGGTCATCGGAGCTAAACTGAAGGAGTAATCGCCGATCGCGTGTTTTGGGTACCCACTCTACGAGCAAAAGCCGATCGACGCGAACGAACACGACGACCGAACCAAGAGAGATACAGCTACGGCCGCATACAAGGATCGAAAGAGGACCTATTGCCGCATATGCCACGACAAGTGCAAGCTCTCAACTCCGAAAATTGAGCGAGATACGATCAATCGAGTCAAACAGTGCTGAAGCGACGGGAAGAACAAGTCCCAACCAAGCGCCGACAGCTGAAACTCAAGGAAGAAGACTCTCGAGCCTATGAAACTGCTCCAGTAGGTCTATCTAACAACAATACAAGTATCTACAACAAGAAGAAGGCTTCGAGTCGACCGATAGAGTCAATCGGTAGTACACTCCAAGCTCAAACGGTGTGAATTTCGTGTGAGCCACAGATAGAGCCACGAAGACACGACGCGATAGGAACAAGCCAAGTTTAAGGCAGGAGCAGTCACAAGAGTGACATATAGACCCACAGAGGCAACCTGATCAATAGGAAAAGAAGAGGAACCCCCTCAAGCTCCACCAAGCGTCCCACAAATCCCAAGTACACCGTTTCCAGTACAAGTCCACGCAGCCAGTAATTCCTCAAGGCAAATAGATCATACCAAGAGCAAGATGACACGATTCAACAACAGAGGAGGCCGTGGGAACAGAGGAGGAGGCAGAGGCTCCTCCGGCAGAGGCCAAGGCGCCGGTAGAGGCGGTGCCAGTGGTGGCGGTAGAGGCAGGGCAGAGGACAAAGCAACCCCGAAGTACCTGTTCCGCCCAATGGACAGGCTGACTCCAGATTTTTCCGTTTACAGAGACATTAAACCACATTGTGGCTACTTTCAGAACCAGGTCAGAGTGGATAGCCGTTCCCAAAGCGTCACTAGCCATTGAGACTATGCAAAACCAGACGCCGACAGAGCCAGCGGAACCGTCCTATACTACTGATGCTGACGGCAAGAAGGTATATGACGAGCTCAAGC